TTGGGGCTGGTGTGTGGGGGCGGCTGGCTGCCTTCTGCTGCTGCCCCTTTGCCTGTCTGCCTCGAGCCTGCTGCTACCTGGCCTGGCGCCTGCCTCTACGGCGGGGGAGCTCTGGGATGGCCGGGTGGGTGTGTCCCGTTCCCCCCCCGAGCCCGGCAGCAAGCGAGGCTGGGACACCAGGCACGCCCCGCACAGGCTCACCCATGCAAGGCCGAAGGGGCATCCAGGCGGTCAAGCAGGCGGTGGGTCGGGCGTGCCTCCGCGTTGGCTGCGGGCGTGCCTGGCGCGCCAGTCGGAGGAGGCGAAGCTGCCCAGACCGCAGGATTAGCCAGGGAAGAGGCACGGCTGCCAGCTCCCGCCTTGCCGCCGCCAGCGAGGATTGATGTCAGCGGCACAACATTCAACAAAGCGAGGCTGCAAGCAAGAACCGTCGGTCGATCAATCGGCAGCTGAGCTGATGCCTGCAGGTGGCTGTGCCTCGCCTTAGAGGTTGGCGTGCAGCCCCCATGACGAGCCTGGAGTACCTAGAGGCTGTCTCGGGCTCTGGCAGCGATGCCAGGTGCGTGTGCCGCGAGCTCCCAGGTTCCGAATGGAGATGCCCGCCATGTCGGTGCCTCCTTTGACGCCTGGCTCCCCCGCCCTGCCGCCCTCCCTTCAGCCAGCTGGTGGTGCAACACACCCAGGAGCGCAGCGGCTGGGTGGCGCTGCCGCCCGCCCTCTGCTCCCGCCTCTTCCAGGCGCGCGGCGCCGAGCTGCCGCTGGCGCTGGAGCTGCGCCCCGTGCTGCGCCGCGCGGGCGTGGCCCTGCCCTCCGACACCCCCTGCTACGCGGCCTGGGCGGGGGTCACCTGCGCGGCCGGCTGCGTGGGCGTGCCCGCCGCCTGGGCGCGGGCGCTGGGCCTGGGCGAGGGCTCGTCGGTGGCGGTGCGGCCGCTGCCCGGCCTGCCCCAGGCCGTGTCTGTGACCGTGGAGCCCGCCAGCGAGGACGACTGGGAGGTGGTGCAGCTGAATGCAGAGTACCTGGAGGAGCAGCTGCTGAACCAGGTGGGTGGCAGCGGAGGCGGTGCGGCGGGGTGTGCTGGCTGCGCGGGAGTAGGCGGCGCCCCTCGCGTGCCGCCCCAGGTTTGTGGCCGCTGCCTCACCGCCTCCTGCTTGCCTTGGGGCTGCCCTCTGCCCCGCCCCGGCCGCAGGTGGGGGTGGCCAGCCCCTCCCAGCCGCTGCCCTGCTGGATCCGCAGCTTGGGCGTGATGCTGCGGGTGACGGCCATGGTGCCGGCGGGGCCGGTGGCGCGCCTGGTGCAGGGCAGCGAGGTGCATGTGGCGCCGCGCCTCAGGCTGCCCGCAGCGCAGGCAGCAGGCGCCACCGGCGACGTGCTGCAGCCCGGCGGCGGCGGCAGGGCGCAAGGGCAGAGCCGGCGGCAGCAGGGGGCCGTGGGCAGCAGCAGCAGCGCTCGCGGCAACGGCAGCCAAGAG